GAAAGGGATGTGTCAACTATCCCAGACCCCACACACCTCTACAGCTTTTCATATGCAAAGACAGACATGCAACCTAAAAGATCCAGGCTTATGGGGAGACATACAACTTGATAAAATGTCAGAAGAAACAACAGACAGGAAAAGCCTAGCTGTAGCGCCAGATAATGATTAGTCGCTGACTCTAAAATAACTGTGCGATGTGCACAGATAAAACAAGATTGAAAAATTTGTTCGAAAACTATGAACGAGAGAGCCAGATGAAAATTCTAGAACTGAAAATCAAATAAATTACAAATCCAATAGACGAGTTCAACACCAGATTATTTTGCAGGTGAGGAGCAAATTACTGAAGTGGATGATAGATTAGAAGAAAAAACCAATACTAAAGCAGAGAGAAACAAAAGAAAAACACATGTACACACAGAACATAAGAAACTTAGGGGATACAGAAAAATGTTCTAACACAGACATAACTTAAGTCCCAGACAGACTGAATGGAGAGATTGGGGCAACAGCATTATTTGTTAAGATAAATTCTGAGAATAATCAGTTCTAAGAATTCATAAAAGTATTAAAAAACACAGATTTAAGAACTACGAACCCTAAATAGAATAAATGAAAACAAAAGAAACCACAGTTAAATACAGCAGAGCAAAAATTGAAAAGGCCAAAGCAAAGCAAAAATCTTAAAAGTAGCCAGAAAAAAGAAGATTATCTCCAAAGAAGGAACAATAGGATTTACAGCTAATTTTTAGGGATTAACAATGAAAGTCAGGAGACACTGAAATGGTATCTTCAAAGTGCTAAAAGAAAATAAATACAAACCTAGAATTCTACACAAATAACCTTCAAAGATTAATGTGAAACCACGTCAGATAAAAATTGAGAGAATTCATCATCATTACATCTGCATTAGAGCAAATAATGAAAGAAAACCATCACACATAAAAGATCACGCATGCAGAAATTAATAAAAAGCTCTGGAAAGCATGAGTGTGTAAGTCAATCCTGACTATATAAAATAATAACAATGTCTTGAGAATTTTAAATATAAATACAGAGTTAAATACAGGTCAAAACAACATACAAATTTAAAGTTAAAATATTCCAAGGGCTTTACATTGTCTAGGAATAGGCAAAATTAGTAATTTAGTTTAGAGTTCGATAAATTAAAGATGGTTGTTGTAATCCTGAGGGTAATTGGTAAAGGAACGGCAAAATAGTGATGAACTACCAAAGTGGTAGTAAAGGAAAAAATACATCACTAAAAAAACATAAAGAAAGAACAGCAAGAAAAGGGAATTAGAATAGGTAATTAGAATTGATATAGTACAATCATAGATTTAAGTGCAAACAATAGTTATAACTGAAGTAAATGGACTAAACCAATTAAAAGACTAAACCAACTACATATCAAAACTGGCAGGACACAGTTAAAGTTGCAGCCAGAGGGAAATTTATAGCTATAAATGCATATATTAGAAGAGAAGGTTGAAATCCATGATCTGGGTGTCTGTCTCATAAAGCTAATAAAAGAGCCACAAATTAAGGCCAAAGAAAATAGAAGAGAAAAAAATAACAAAAATAGGAGAAATTAATAAAATGGAAAATCAAATATTCAACTGACAATATCTAGAAAGCCAAAAGACACTGACCAAGAAAAACAAAACATCAACAAAAAGAGAAGTCGCAAATAACCGACACCAGGAATATAAAAGCTGCTATTATTATAGATCTTACAGACATCAAAAAGACCAGAAAAGGGCTGGCCCGTGGCTCACTCGGGAGAGTGCGGTGCTGATAGCACCAAGGCCCCGGGTTCGGATCCCACATAGGGATGGCCGGTTGGCTCACTGACTGAGCGTGGTGCTGACAACACCAAGTCAAGGGTTAAGATCCCCTTACCGGTCATCTTTAAAAAAAAAAAAAAAAAAAGACCAGAAAAGAATATGCCAAAAAATACCATTATGCAAAAAGATTTTAAATGTATGAGAAATGCATATATTTCCTAAAAATCACGACTTACCTAAATTGATCCGGGGGGGGTGGGGGGGTTGGGAGCCCTATAAACTATTTTAAAAAACGATTATGTAATCAACATCTTTGCACAAAGAAAACCTTAGGTTCAGAAGGCATTAACAGTAAATTTCGCAAAGCATTTAAGCAAAAAATAATACCCATGTTAAATAAACTTTGCCGGAGAATACAGAAACAGAGAATTCATTTTGATGCCAGGATAGTCATAATACGAAAATCTGATGAGGACATTACAAGGAAGAAAAATTACTGAAGAACCTCTCTCATGAACATAGCTGCAAACATACAAAATAAAATGTTAGCAAATCAAAGCTTGAACTACATAAAAAAAAAAAAAAGCATTGTGACCAGATTGATTGGGGTTATTCTACAATATAAGTTAGAATTTATATTTAAATAGATCTACATAATTCAACACATTAACCACATAAAGAAGAATCGTACAGTGATCTCAAAAACAAGGTGAAACAGCACCTGATAAAAATCAATATTCATTCATATTGAAACTCTTAGCAAACTAGAAAAGATGAGTCCAGAGTCTGCTAAAGAGAACCTGTCAAAAAGAAATTAAGAAATAAATAAGAAATACAAACAAAGCCTCTATAGAAATCGTGGCACTTAACAGAAAAAGGAGAACCAGACAAGCATGCCTGCTATCATGACCGGACGTCCTAGCCAGTTCAGTAAAATTAAACAAGGAAAAGACACAGAAGACATTCCAATTGCAAAGGAAGAAACAAACCTGTCATTATCTATGACATGATTCCAGTGTTGAAAAACTGAAACAATCCACTGATAATTAGCATATGTGAGTTTAGAAAGGTTGCTGGACACAAAGTCAACAGTCAAGAATAGACTACTTTTCAAAATTATAAAAACCAAGCCATTCATAATAGCATCAGAAATCAGCAAATGGCTTGAAATAAATCTAATAAAACATATGCAAGGCTTCTGCACATAAAAGTATAACACATTATTAAGGAAAATTAAGGAAGATATAAATAGATACCTAAGACCAGGAATAATCACTATTGTAAAAATATCAAGTCGTCCTGATTTGATCTACAGAGTTGATTCAACCACAAACAAAACCCAATAAAGTCTGTGGAAAGCAACAATCGACTCTACCAAGAGTAGCAAAGGCAATCTTGAAGTAGAAAAACAGTGGAAAGATTCACACTGCTGAGCATAAGACTTATTTTCAAGCTATGGTAATTAAGACCATGCTGTACTGACGCAAGCGTAACAGGCGCCAAAGTCACAAACAGAACAAGTGGAAACAAACACAGGCGTGCAGGGAGAGAGGCGGAGTCGCGGGCTCAACTGCACGCCCGTGGAAAGAAGCCTGAAACTCAGCCACTGCCTCATGCCACACACACATCAATTCCAGGTAGAATGGAAATCTAAACGTGAAAGAGAAACAATACGCTTCCTAGAAGATAATAAGAGAATGTATTCGAGATTCTGGAGAAGAGAAGATTTCTTAAACAAGGCATGCAAACAACTAAGGGAAAAGACTGAGAAATCAGAAGTGGGGAGGAGGAGGTGGGGAAAGGGGGGAAACGGGGAGGGGAAGGGAGGGGAAGGAGGGCTGAGACCAGGGAGGGCATGTGCCAGAACTTCAAAGGTAATGAAAATGTCTTTTGTCTTAACCCATCACATGGATACCAGTGGCTTCTCTGTTTTACAGTCCTGTATGCCTTACATATATTCTATAAATATTCTTTTATATCTATCTAATATTAAGAATGTTAAAGGGTAAAGTTTTCAAAAACCTTTAAGTTGAAAATACTTTATTAAGAAATACAGATAATCACAGATAATTATATAATATATTCTCACTAAATTGCATAGAACTGGGGGAACAGCATAAATTCCCACATCCCTGTCACGTGCACATGGCCAGGGGACCTCCGCAGTACAGGCAGCAGTGGCGTAAAAGAACCCGTGCCCCTTTTCATGGAGCCTCCGTGCGGACTGAAGCCCGATGAGGGGAATGACCAGCGACATCATCAAGCTCCCCTGTCTTGGATGGGAGAGGCCTGTAAGGGCTTCTGTTCTTACTCATGAGCACCAGAAGGGTAAATCGCCCCACGTTCCTTACACAGAATCCTGCCACCCAGGGGCATATACATCTTGACTTGTTTTCAGCATTACCAGGGAACAAACGAGTTCACCTGAGCACTGAAGTCCTGGGCAGAGACTCACAGAGCCTGCGAAGGTGAGAGTCCACCCACTCTGGGGATTAGATCCTGGGTGTGTCATTTAAAACCAGCTGTCAGTAGAAAGAACACAAAAGCACACCAAGCCAGCCAACATCTGGGAGGGACGCTCAGGGCAGACTCAGCAAGCAGCAGGAGCCCCAGCACCCAGGGGGGCCACACAAGGGCGCGGAGACTTGCACTGTGGGCGCCGCCTTCACATACACGAGCCCCAGGGGCCCGCTGTCCAGCAGCCGGCAGCCAGCAGAGGCGGTACGTGACCTTTTCCTTCACAGACACATCCCTCGAATTTTCCAGTGACGGAAAGAGCAAATGGAACGGTCTCCTGGATAGCATCAAGCCTGGGCTTTAATTAGGAGAAAACAGACCAGTCCGGTCTTCAGACAGACGAGCGAGGTCACCACATAAAGCAAGAATCAGGTCCAAAGAGCAAATGTGAAAGCCAGGTTGGCCACTCTGTGGCCCGTGTCTCCTCCTGGGCTGCTGGTTGTCCTGCGCACGAACATCTGCTTTCCAGCACTGCCCAGCGCTCTCGAGAAAGGAACTCCAAAGGACGTAGAGCAGAACTCACAGGCCAGGTTCACTGGGCACCTGCTAGGCTTTTTGGTTCCTAACACTGTTTAAGCCTGTTTGGAGAACTGCCAAACGGTCGTGAAAGTACTTAAACCGAGAGTCCCGGTGCATGCCCCTGGCCGCGCTGCTCCCCGCCACCTGCACCCGCGCCCTCCCGCGCACACTCACTCTCTTTGCCCTTCTCTTTGTTCTTGAGCTGCTGCAGCTTCTGCTCCCGGTGCTGCTTCTCCAGCTCCTGCTCCTGGCGGTGCCGCTCCAGCTTCCGCTGGTGCTCCAGCAGCTCCTGCTGGTGCTTCATGGCCAGCATCTCCTGCTGCTGCTGCGAGTGGGAAGGAGAGACAGGCGGTCAGAGCCAGGGCTCACAGACAGGGAGACCCAGCAGACACCCAGACACCAGCCCCAGAGCCCCCACGTCTGCCTGTGTCCCCGCCGTGCATCACTCTGCACAGACGGCATTTTTACCATGACCACCACGTCAGCTCTGCTCATTCTGTGAGAGATGTGAGGGCTGCTGGAGGCTCTGGAAGCCTTCTAACCTCGTAAGTGGTAAAATGAAAATAAAAGTCATTAGATTGCTAAGGGAAAATGCGCAAAGGAAGAGTTATGTCATCTTGCCGGTTGGGAATGCCTTTTTGAGAATGACCCAAAAGAGAGTGTGAAGTGGCACGACCACCTTGGACAGCTTCTTGGAACTTCCTTACAAAGTTGAGCACACCTCTGCCCTGAGCTCAGCAATCCTGCTCCCAGGTATTCATCCAGAGGCACGGAAGCACATCCGCAAGGAGCCCCGTCCAGGAATGTGCACGGCAGCTTCACGCACAGCCCAGGCTGGGTGCAGCCCAAGCGTCCCTCAAAGGTGAACATGTGAACAAATTGTGTGCATTAGTATAAGAAAGAATAAACTACAAATACATGAAGAAACGTGGATGAACTGCAGAACAAGCAAAATAGGGCCAGTGTTGGTGTACGGGTGCGTGGGAAAGGGCACAGAAAAGAGTCAAGACTGAAAGATTCGACTTATGTCATGTTCAAGAACAGGAAAACCCAATACATGATGAAAAGTCAGAAGGTTGGTTCCGGGGTGAGGCAGGGGGCACTCAGAAAGGAAGGAATGATCCAGGTAACGGGCTGTCTGCCCCGTGAAGTGTCATCGGCAGGGTTGTCTGCAGGGCAGCTCCTGACTGCCAAAACGCACTCACAGCTCTCCTGAGAGCTGGGCACTTTGTTCTTCATAAATCACATATCCTATTTCAAAAAATGGCACAGTTGGCCACATAAAAAATTTTAATTGTCATTGTAACGAATAAACAAAACTAAAATGCAAAAGGTAAACAAGAAAAACTGTATAAAAATGATTGCTACAAATTAATAAGGATATGATAGGTAGCCCACTAAAAACTTGAGCAAAAAAGAACAAGAGGTTCACAGAAGTGGTTACAAATAAACGCGTGATCAAAGCCCACTTTCCCTACCGCATTGGAAAGGTGACAGAGGACAATCTGGCCCAGTGCAGACAAGAGTGTGGGAAGGGTCCTATGAGCTGGCCACCAGGAGAGGGGCTGCCGCAGCATGAATCAGCAATTCCTCCTCGGAACATGCCCTGACTCTGCTCTCCTTCCCACGCCTGGGCTCCAGCTACATGCATTTTCCCGGGCTCCACACCAGCCACCGGCTGACTGGAGGAGAGCAGGGCCTGGCCTGGGTTGGCACCTCCTAAGGCAGGCCCTCACACTTCCCAGCTCAGTCCTCTGCTGTCCCCAACGTGTCCTTGATCAGCAGTTCGGTTTCTTGTCGGGCTGTCTTTTGTTGGTCTGGATCCCCTTAGGGAAGGAAGAGGGGTACTGGCAGGAAGAGGGTGAGCAGGCAACCTGGCAACCAGAGTGGCCCATGGAACTTACTGAGGACATTTAATATCCAAGCACCCTTCCCCCAGATGTAAGTAACCAGATATATCTAAGGATGGGAAACGAATTAAAACGTCCATTTCAACCATTCACAGACAGACTATGCGCCAGTAAAAATGATGAGGACGATGATAATAGGTAATATTTACTGAGGGCTCGTCAATGTGCTTTGCATTTAGAATTGATTTAATCCTCCCATGACCTTATGACGTATTTTACAAAACAGGAAACTGAGGCACAAAGTGGCCGGTGGGTCAGGGTCTCAGTCCAGATGACTGGCTCCAGAGGTGAGCTTCCACCAACTGGTGGGTCTGCCTGGAGGGCGAGGCTCAGGAAAGGAAAAGGTCAAGGACGGGAGAGAATGGGATGAGTGTGCGAGGCAACCCTTCAACTCGTGTGTGTGTGTGTGTGTGTGTGTGTGTGTGTGTGCGCGCGCGCGTGCGCGCACGTGTGTCGCACTTCCCCGTGAGGTTGGGAGTGACGTCCCCAGTGTGTCCTGCCATCTCCTTGTCTGTATTCTCTAGCTGTTCTATAACAAACACACTTCACTTCAGAGCAACAAGGAATAACAACAGAAAAAGAAAAAGGCTTAGGTGTAAAAGAGCAGATTAAAAGAATTAGGAACAGAGGAGGGGCCTTGGTCCCCTCGATGCTGAGGCAAGGAGGCTGCCCGAGCTTTCTACTATACAGCTCGATTGCTCCCAAGGAAATACACCCACCAACACAGAGCAACATGGGCCACCGGTGTGCTTGCAAGAGTGTGCATGCACGTGTGTGCATGCAAATGTGTGTCTAAGTGCATGTGAGAATGCGATGGAGCTTCCCTTCTCTGTGGGCACTGACTCTTGCAGCAACATCTGGCCACCTACAGGGAGCAGGCCACGTATCCACGAGCATCTCTAGAGTCTTTTGCTAGGTCCCTCCTCAGAAGAGAGGCCTGGAGGAACTCTGTGCATCATGCTGCATTCACCAAGGACCCACAGCTTAGGCTGAGGGGGAAGGGGCTCACACTACGTCCAGCAGCAGCATATGCAGTAGGAGCCAGGAGTGGGGCTGTCAGGGCCAGGCTCTCAGCTCAGTACCCACTCGTGGAACCTAAGAACTTTCCTATCAAAAAAATTTACATTCCAAACAACCATCTTAAATGAACTTCAGGACTGTCTGCAAAGGACTTCTTTGGTAGCAGGGTGGTCCAGGGGTTAGAGCAGACCATTGAGGCCAGACTGCTGGCCCCAAACCCTGACCCTGCATGCTCCCTTAGTGGAGTCACCGTGGGACTTAAATATTTAACGTCTCCATGCCTCGGGTTAGTAGTAGGGCCTGTTCTATCGGCTGCTGTCAGGACTAAAGGAGACGGTATTTGGAAAGCCCTCTGGCAGTGAGCTGGACGTTTGTGCTCCTTCACCTTCACCATCGTCAGGCTTATACTTTTGGAACACGTCAACTAAAGAGGGTGGCTTCTTGTGGACACTGAATGTCATCCTAAGATCCAAACAAGGCCTCCCAGTGGGGACATAGCACAAGCTGAATGGAAATAGGAATGAATTTCAAGGGCTTTCCAGTCTCAGCGCTGCTCCCTCCCTGGTTTTGCATTTCTTATCGCCAATAGTCAATACACTTGGTTCTAAGCATGAATGGGGCTTCAGCCCCTCCACACTGGCAGAACCACACATGCTTGTAAGTCCAGCTCATGAACTTGGCTGACAATTTAAACCATGGCGTTTTCTTACCTTTTAAGAGGAAAACCAAATTGTAACATTGCGACAAAACAGAAAATGAAGTGGGGGATAAACGTGTCCCTTATTATTTACTTTCATTCCAAGAGACACTGTAGGCACAGCCATGCCGTGGGAAAATCATGCTCTTGTCGCAAACAGAGCCCACACGGGAGTAACGTACCTCTGCCAGGAGCAATGTTTGTGCACGTGAACAGATTCAGTTACCGAAGGGTGCTGTGGCTGTGTCCACAGGTAAAGGCCCCCACCAGGGTGTCCCTGGGGTACTGTCAACAGCTCAGGGAATCCACCTGCATCATTAACCTTAATAAACATATAACTTATCAGCCTTCCTGATGTTGCTTCCTGGTGTTCTCCAGTTCAGAAAACAAATACAATGATATTTTGAACTGATCATATAATTATTTTAATTCTTCCCCCCCTTGTTATCACCTACCCAAACAGTCCCCTATGCACACACAGCACCACGGTCCCCTTGGATTGCTCAGTGTTCATTTAATGTGGAAATGAGGAGCAGCAGCCAGATTTGCCAAATATAGTCTCACAATATTTACTTTTCAGCCACAGCCCAGAAGGAAAGTCAGGTCTTTCAATTGTCATTACAAAATGACTGGAAACAACAATCAGATACTGGTGATTAAAATTCATAGGACGGCAAAGCTCCCAGAAAAACAACACTGCTGCAGAGTTTTAATGAAACTAGCAATTACCAACAGTAACTCAGGCCGAGCGGGAGTTACTCTGATTCCCCACAATGCCCCACAGCAGCACTGAGTGACCTTATTCTTCGTTACACCTAGGTAGGCACTATGTCTTATTGGATTTAAAACAGAAGACCTGTGTATTAAAGCCCGTAGAGCAAAGCAATGAGAACAAGGCAGATGCTTGCGTTCACAAGGCCATGCTGCATGTTGGGCCTGCTTCTGGATCCTCTGACATGACCCTCTGTGTGCAGAGCTCTTGTGAAGTGCGGGTGAACCACGACAGGAGGATGCTCGCTGTCACTTTCCTCACTCAGTGATGACACTGCAGCACCGCGAGTGCACACTTGTTCCCGTGGGGGTAGCTTCAGTCAGCTCCCTGAGGGCGGGTCACAGCTGTCCCACGAGATGGGAAGTGAGTGTGCATCACTCCAGTACACAACTCAAGCTATAAAAACAGGACTTTGAGATACGCCAATTTAGTGTATTTGCAACTCGCACCTCCCTAACACGTGTAAAGGGCAAGATGATTCCACGGGGAAAGAAGAATTGTTAAGAAGCTATTTTTTGCAGACTGAAGCTACAATTTAAAATAAAATATCTACGACTTAATTTTTCTAAGAAAACAAAAACGATAATAGCAGATCCCATTACTCCAACCAGGTTTTTTTCTTTCTTTCTTTTTTTTGGCAGCTGGCCGATACAGGGTTCTGAATCCTTAACCTCAGTGTTATCAGCACCATGCTCTAAACCAACTGAGCTAATGGGCCAGCCCCCAGATTTTAATATTAAGTTTACTTTTAAGCCAGCACTGAGCTCTGAACCAAATATTAGATCCTCAGAATTTAGTTTCTTTGACTCTGACTTTGGAATTTAATATACAAAATATTCAAGTGGAAACCCAACCAGATTTTTACTTTAAAAAGTAAACAAAACCTCACTATGCTGAAACACCGATCCAGCTGGAAGAGAGAGACT